TGCCTGGCGGGAGCCAGTTTTTAAGCTGCCTCTCCAGGATCACTGCCTCTGATAAAGAGGCAGCAGCATGAAGGGCAGGCGGCTCCTAGGGAGCAGAGCTGGTACCTGCAGGGAGGTGGCTTGAAAGCTGGCTTCCCTTGTGTACTTGCTCCTGATACAGAGGCAGCAAGGGGGGAGGGGGTGTAGTCGTTAGGATTAATTGACAAGCCCAGGCTTATCAGTTAATCGTGTAAATGACAATATGCTAATATCCCTACTCCAAGCACAAAAATCTACACTGTATTTTATGCCCCTGCAGCGCAAGCCCTGAAGGTCCCTAACCCAGGTTCTGAGAAACAGTACTGTGGAGCAGGCACACCCTAGTCTGAAGTGACTTGCTGGGAAGGGAGCTATTTTGTTTAGTTTCTTAAGAAAAATACTGTTACAACATTACTCACTCCAAAACAAACTGCTTGTGAAAAGGGGAATTTTGAAGCCTATTCTGTTTAGTCACAATCACAAATCCTGACCCCACAATCCTCACGCAGACAAACAAAGCAGCCTGTTGAAGTACACAGGAGTTCTCCCTGCAAGTGGACATGAAAGGGTCCGTAAGACTGGAATTTTCAAAGGGGCCGAAGGGGGTTAGGTGCCCATCTGACTGTGGGAGATGAGATGGCTCTTTGCTCCTCCCATAAGCCCCTTTGGTAATCCCCATTGAAATTCTCTTTGCACAGTTTTCATTTCTGAAGTGCTGGCTAAGCAGGGAGATCACAGCCTGATTTTAAGATACTCCATGGATAAATATATATATTTAGGCACCTATTTAAAAATGCAGACATGATGGCGTGTGCCTGTAATCCTAGCTGCTTGGGAGGCTGAGGTTAGCAGTTTGTTCAGGGGGTTCTAGGGCTGCAGGGTGTCCAGCCACACCCTGACCAGCTGGTGGAGGCAGGACTTGCTAGACAACACAATGGGCTTGTTGTGACCCGCACTGTCTCTGTGAGGGCAGAAGGACCAATGGATCGTGGTGACTTAAAAATGAGAGAAAGAGAGAGAGATTCTTGATCCAGTAGACAAACAAGCAGCCATTACAGTCAGTCATGCAACTTCTCAGATGAATAACTCATTGAAATCAATAGCACTGCCTGCATGAATAAAAAAGGTAGGGTTTGGAAATAGTCTCATTCATTAGCTATGTGACCTGAATCCAGGTGCTAAAAATCTGACTCATATTTTCTTTGAAAAAGAAACCTCAGTTCAGATCTGAGTTGGAGGGGAAGGGGAGAATATTATGTGTAAATAGGACTACACCCTCCATCTCCAACATGCTCCTTTTGCACCACACAACAGTGCAAAAGGACCATAACGTAGCCCTAACAACTGAGGATTCCTGGGTTAGGCAATTCTATCATCTCCACCCTGGCATAGAGGATGTGCTCAGAAATGGGAGGGAGCATATGTACAGCACTGCTTCACCCTGGACGTGCTCAGCTGTGGAAAACCCCCTTGCTTGTGTGTATTCCCCACCAGCATAAGTATGAGCAGGTCTGAGCTGCTGTAACTTACTGCCCAATATCAGCATGCAGAGGTGGCTTTATTTCACCTTTGCCCACTTCCTTGAATCCTTATCCAAGCATAGATTGTCCACAGCTGAAGAACTGGAACTCCGAAAACTCCAAAAGAATATTTTTTTATGTTTATAGATAAGTGGTCTGTTAAATTCAATGTAATACATTATCTAACTGTATATTAATTTTCCTCCAGTAGCTTGGAAAGAAAGTGGGAACCAGGAAACCTAAGTCTATTCCCAGCTCTTCCTTAACTGCAGGTCTTACCCTGAGAATGCTACTTAAACCCTCTGTGCCTTAGTTTTCCCATTTATAAAATGGCATAAATATAGTAACCTTCCTTCATAAAGTACTTTGAGGTTTCAGATGAAAGCATGACACAAGTGCAACATATTTTCATGATTTTTAAAGAAATAGATTATGCTTATATAATATTGTCACTAAGATATAAAAGCTCAGTTTGATAGACAACAAATATTTGGGGATAACTTTCCCAATTTTTTTCTCTCATTTTCTCTTTCAATATTATAGTTTTAAGAGTATTTCCTAATCTTTCATTTAGGAAACAAGAACTGATGTTACTTGGGAATTATGTGCAAGCACAGTGTCTGAAATAACTTCGTGTTAGTCTGGTGCAGCTGAAACAAAAAACAGGACTGTGTAGCACTTTAAAGACTAACAAGATGCTTTAATAGGTGATGAGCTTTCATGGGCCAGACCCACTTCCTCAGATCAAATACAGGCAGTCCCCGGGTTATGTACAAGATAGGGACTGTAGGTTTGTTCTTAAGTTGAATTTGTAAGTAAGTCGGAACTGGTACATATTGTAGGGGAAACTCTAGCCAAACATTTCTCCAGAGCTCAGTTTTATTCTCCCACACCTCACTTCCCTCAGTCTTTTATTCTCAAGCTGAGGTGTCTGCTGAGAAAAGCCGCTCCGCGTCTCTCTGGTCTGCTGGAGGGGGGCGCTAGCTTCGCATCTCCCTGGTCTGCTGGGGGGAAGCAGCTAGTGCGGGGTTGCCTCACCCCGTTTGTAAGTAGGGATCTGATGTAAGTCGGATCCATGTAACCCGGGGACTGCCTGTAGTGGAAGAAAATTGTCACAACCATATATACCAAAGGATACAATTAAAAAAAAAGTGAACACATATGAAAAGGACAAATCAAATTTCAGAACAGAAGGGGGACGGAGGGGGGGAAAGGAGGGGAGGTAAATGTCTGATATTTATTTCTCCCCCTTCCCCCCTCCATTCCCCTTCTGTTCTGAAATTTGATATGTCCTTTTCATATGTGTTCACTTTTTTTTTAATTGTATCCTTTGGTATATATGGTTGTGACAATTTTCTTCCACTATTTGATCTGAGGAAGTGGGTCTGGCCCACGAAAGCTCATCATCTATTAAACTATCTTGTTAGTCTTTAAAGTGCTACACAGTCCTGTTTTTTTTAAATAACTTCATGAGTAGTTTTCTTTTATACACCTGTAATATAAATATCTGAAGAGGATATTGCTTAAGCCATAAAACAAAGTGACATAATAATTTATTAATACAGCATACACAGTTCATTGCTGTTAAATGCCATAAAGAGCTGGAAATAGTGTAGTTTCTCAGAAAGTATTGCCAATATGTCAAGAGAAAGACTTCCTTGATGCAACCTCAGCCTGTGTAAGTTCCTCTTCGGGTACTTCAACATTTTGGTTATTCTCTCCAGCACGACTTTGTATCCTTCCGAAATGGTTGTGTTGGTTTCCTCTCCACCACCTCACATTTTCTGATGATTCCCTTCCCCTGAATGTTCTTATCATTCATTCTAATGACACATTCTCTTTTCTGACTGCTGGGCCCTAATTCTGATCAGCTATGCCACTGATTTAAATGGCCTGGCATTAGTGTACTGGTAGTGGAATGTGGCCTCTTGTATTTGCTGGCTTCCCAAATTCTGTTCACATAGCTGCACACTTAAGTGTTTTGCTGGCAGGGAGCCAGGTGGCAGAGGAGGCAAGCGATGGCTGAATTTTGGCCAATATGTCATTCTTTACACATTTAGGCCTCAGTCTAGTGAAGTATGTAAGCACATGGTTAATGTTAAGCATGTAATTCCACTGAAGTTAGGTGAACTCATAGTTAAGGGCTTGCTTGTTTGGATCAGGATGTTATAGTGTGACGCTTCTAGTATCATTTTGGTATCTTTTTTTCTTTTGAGCATATGCATACCATTTAAATGGACGTATGGTTCCTTTCTATATGAGAAATATTGCCCTCTGTTCTCAGTGGTAAAAATGTAGATACTGTTTTTTTTAATACAATGCTTTTTTTTTTTTAAATACAATGGCAGGCATTAGCTCTTCTTTACTAGTCAGAGACACTCCATATTGGGCTGGGATAATTGTAAGCATAAAGTCTGTTCCTACATAAAGTGCATTTGCCAACATTAATGCAATCTGCATGATGCTACACTTAAGACTAACCAACTGCATTTCCTACACCATATATGAGCTAAACTAACTATAAATATTCCTGAAATTATATAGCTAATTTACTTTCCTTCTTTTCATGTGTGTATTGACATATAAGCTTATCAAGCATCTCTTTAATATAACACACCCCAATCCTGTAATAACATCCCTGTGGATGGGTGGACTGCCATGCCCAAATGGAGCCCCAGTGAGACAAGGGACCCACATGCATAGATTCCCTTGCAGGGTTAAGCCTATAATGTGTGTATATAAAAAATATAATTCACCTGTACACTTCTGTGTATATCCTACCCATCAGCATAAATAAGAAAGCGTGATGAGGTAATAGGATGCTCCTTCCTTGATTAATTAATAATGAAGCATGGCCCTAGTAGATGTTAAGGTACCAATACATACTTTATGTTCCATCAATACCTGCACATAGTCACTATGTCTCATTACTTTCCATAATGCATGCAAAAGGAGCACTTGTTTTTAAGATGAGTCCCTAGTGTTCCTGTTTGTTAGATATTCTGTATCTTCCCTCGCCTTTTAAAGTTATGGGAAATTCTGGATTGCTTGAAATCCAGGAAACTGTCTTTGAATTTTCTTCATGTCACTCATTTTAAATACACAGTCTTCCCCCATCTCCACCTATGCTCAGAAACAAAGGCATGCAAAAATCACACACTTTCATACTGTATGCACAGCACCCCTGTGATTTATCCTATTAGCTTTTGTGTGCTAATAACACACACGGAGTTCTGGTGTGGTGATCCACTTTGCCTTTTAATTTCACACTCACAAATCAAATCAATCCCCCAGTGCTCAGGCAGCCCCTCCCTAGACAATGGTTTCCTGCATATTATTAATTAAGTTCCCACCAGCAGTGATTATGATTACATGCACACAGTTCTCATGGGCACAGCCAGCTCCAGCACAGGCAATCAGCTTCTGTATGTTGGCAGTTCGCTACCCCCCTTGATTCCCCCTCTTCTCTGGGCTATATGTGGCATTTAGAAGCTCTGACAATCTGCTCCAAATGTTTTCCATATTTGTTCAGCCTCCTTGATTCAAATACCAGGAACAACTCAGGCAGCACAAAGCGAAGCTTCGGGAGCAAAAAAAACAAAACAAAACAAAACAAAACTCAACACGCCCATCAGCCAGAAAAAAAAAAAGTTAATCAACATGAGAAAAGAGGAGAAGAAACCTCAGAACAACACGTCCCTTAATAACCAGAACCAGGCAGGGAAGGCACCTGAAGGGGAGAAAAGCACCGATCCAGCCAAGCAGCAGGAGCCAGCAATGAAGAAGAAAGCCAAGGGGGATCCCAAAACGGGCAAGGAAGAGGAATCCCACACTTGTTGTGCCTGCCGTTTCCCGTTGCTGGTTGCTTTGTTGCAGCTGGTATTAGGCATCTCTGTAACAGTGCTGGGCTTCATTATGGCAGGCATCAGCTCTTCTTTACTAGTCAGAGACACTCCATATTGGGCTGGGATAATTGTAAGCATAAAGTCTGTTTCTACATAAAGTGCATTTGCCAACATTAATGCAATCTGCATGATGCTACACTTAAGACTAACCAACTGCATGAGCAACACCATATATGAGCTAAACTAACTATAAATATTCCTGCAACTATATAGCTAATTTACTTTTCCAAGGAAACTGCTGTTGCAGTATAATATAATCCTTCATATTCTTCCCCCAAGCACCAAATATCTTTTGAATAAAATACAGGGTTGCTGTGCATCAGATGTATGTTATGCTACCTATTAACTTGTTTGCTATTAAATGATGGTTAGTTAATGCTGATTTTTTTTCCATTTATGTTATCACCCCCAAAAGTCAGGTTAAAAAGGTGTAAATATATTTCTTAACCTCTAATTCAATGTGTTTATAATAGTGTCAGAAAAGAACTGGCTGTTCTTTTAGCTTCCACACTATGATGAGTTAAAAAAAGATTGTAACTTAACCACTTTCGTTTTCATCCCTCCCCTGCCACATCCCAAATTCTTTGCCATAAATCACCCCACATGTGGCTCTTGGGACTAAAGGGTTACTATGAAATGCAAAACAAGTAAGTCTGTAAAGTCTGAAGGGTGTGACAGAAGCCAGCTAAAGAGGCAATTCAACGTTGCAAGTGACATGCTAGCCTTGGCTACTGCAGTTGTGGGACAAAAAAGAAAGAAAAAAACCCACAGTGGCAGGAGGAAAGGGTGGAGTCCCTGATAAATATATTATGATCATGTACATACATGCAATCAGCTCAAAAGTGTGGCCCAAATCTGATCACAGGCAGCTCTTGTATAAGTGAATAGGAGCTGTGGGCCCTTGGCATCTCTCAGGATTTGACCTCATTTGGTGAACCATTTTTAGAGATAATATAAGTCGCTTTGGTAACATTCCTGTGTTGGGGTGTGTATTATATATGTTTTGCTATGCCTATTATTTTTTTCCAAAAGGACCATATTTCACGTAGATGTATTCTTGTGTGTTTGCGCTGACCCTGAGCCTTATTCATTCAATAGAACATAAAGTCTCCCACCAAGTAAATAAGTATTTAGGCACTTTAACAAAGAAGAGATTATTGATGCAGTAAACAAGTATACAGTATATCAGATAAACATAAATCCTTATCAGTGTAAAGATTATTTGACCTGACTTGTTATGATTTGTTGTATTAAACCAGCTGCTGCACATGACAATTACATCTTTGTGTTAGCAATCCTTATCAGATTATTTCTGGGTATATCTGCATACAATTTTTATTTTGGGAGAAGGATGCAAATAGCACTACATATTTGCGTACTTCCTCTGTGTTTTTTTCCAGAAGAAGCTCTTCCGGTATGTACCCGCAGCTACATGCAGCTGAATTTCGAAATAAACCCCTAATTCGAAAGACCCCTTATTCCTCCTACAACGAGGTTTACAGGGGTCTTTGAAATAAGGGTTTATTTCAAAATTCGGCTGCATGTAGACGCGGTACATACCAGAAGAGTGTCTCCCGAAAAACACCCCCAGAGGAAGTATGTAAATGCACAGCACTATTTGCATCCTTCTCCCAAAATGAAAATTGTTTGTAGACATATACTCTGAGACCTGAAAGTCAAAGGCCCAGTCCTGCAAAAGTTGGAATGGTCAAGATCTGAGTTTCTAAACAGATAATGTCTCATTTTCATAGAATACTAGAACTGGAAGGGACCTCAAGAGGTCATCAAGTCTAGTCTCCTGCCCTCACGGCAGGACCAATTTAATTAGTCCTTTCCCCTTTCTCTCTTCTCTTCGAAAATATAGATCTAAAAGTTCAATTCTACCCTCACTTACAAAATAGAAATTTCCAATAGGATTTGCTCTATTATAAGATGAGGGTGGAAAGGGAATACTAGACATTTCCACTTAATTTTTAAAAATTAACAAATTTGCAAAGTTTCTGCAAACACTGAAGGTCAGATTCTCTTCTCAGATCCACACTACGGATCTCCCAAATTTTGTGTAACCTCTTCTTTAGAAGGACAGAAAAACAGCCACAAAGATTCAGGACTAGATCTTCAGCTGGAGGATTTTGGCATTACGCCATTGAAGTCAATGAGGGCATGTAAGTTTACAGCTACTGAGCATGTGCCTTGATTTGCCTGTAAGCTGCCAACATAAAAAAATAGTGTAGACCTGAGAAGCAGCACATAAAGCTGTGCTAACCTTCCAGAAGGAGACCTTAACTAGGCCAGTGGTCACTGAGGTTTTGTGACCAACCTATAACTTAGGGAACATTTGCCAGAATTTATTAACTGTTTGCAGGAATTTGGACTGACATTCGGATGGGAGTGGGCTGGTGTAAATAACGCACAGCTCAGTTGGTTTGCATGGTTTCCACCTGAAACCAGGCAAAAATTGATACTTCTGCACTTTGAGTTAACCTAAAATTTCAAAGCAAAACACTGGTCTGAACTAAAACTGCTGGAGATTGCACAAATCAGCCTTCAGGAATAACAGAGCTCCTGCTGAGCCAGAGAACACAAGATTCTAGCTGCATGATTCTTAGGATATCTTTCTTGGTGCTTTACCTAAAGTAATGGGTCCAATTTTAAAATATAGCTAGACTTGCAGTTCTCAGTCTGTGGGTTGTTTCACATGTTGGTTTACCAGCAGGTTTTTGGTGTAGGCACATTCTTTTCCAGCTCAATTGTATGTGGCACTGTTTGGGTTTCTGTTCATACTACCTAGTGTTGAAGTTGAATGGTGTTGCGACCATGAGAATGTTCTTCCTCATGTATTTCAGGGAGAGTGAGAAGAGAGACAAGTGTCTGAGAGCTTCTGGGAAAATTCACACATCAAATTGAAGTCGGGGGGGAGGGAGGAAGAAACACATGTTGCTTTCCATTTCCATGCTCAGGTGTGTCTGCAAGTGGGGGAATTTATGCTGGAAGAGAGAGATGAGATGGAGAAGCTGAATCTGTAACTCCCAGCGGCCAGGAGAGAAGATGTTCAAGTGGAAGCTCAAGTGATGTCGGGAGTGCCGTGAGAGCTGATGCAAAGGTTTACAGGATATTGGTTCATAAGAGCTTACAAAAAAGAGGAGCTGAGAAATCATGCCATTATTTGAGTACAGATGGTTGCGCTGTGATAGATGTGTATGCTACTCGTTGGGACACTGGCTGGGAAAGGTTGAGCCAAAGCAAAGTTTGTCCATGTATTTCCCAGGGCTTTTGCCTGTGGTCTGTAGGTTGGAATAGTCTGAGAGCTATGCATTATGAGGTGCTCTGTGATGGCGATCCAGTGTGCTAGAACACCCTGTGTGCGTATATCTTTGGGCAGGTATCCGGCTAGTGTAGTGACTGGAGAATATGCATATGGGCATGGGATGGAGCGTGTCTTTCTCATAAAACAAATATGCTCTTATTCTGTAGCAGAAAGTTCATCTCTCTCGAACTCATTTGTGAACGCAGAAATGAGCAACATTGCCTTTCTTGGCAGTGTAGCAGAACAAAAAGAGGTGGTGTAAAATACCAATGCCTGCTTGTTTTAGTAACATCCCACTCAAGTGCTCTGTTCAAAGGATTTGATTAGTGTTCAGGCTCACCATCTGCTTAAGGACTGTAAACTATATTATCAAGACCTTTTTAATGAAGTTAAAGACAGTGAGCTAAATTCATACACACCCCCACTGCAACCCCATCAGAATGACACCAGGAATGAATTTAACCCCTTAGCTGTTGTTGAACTGTGACAGAAAAAATGAAGGAAAACTGCTAATGTGTTTTTTAATAGATCCTGATAGAAGGATTTTTTGTCTTGCTTTATTAGTAGCAAAAGCATCACACTGTTCCTAACTGAAAATACAGTCCATTAGCATGAATGAAAGGGAACTTGGCTAGTGAAGCAACTAGAGCAGAATGTTCCCAATGAAAAGCGAAATAGGAAAAACTAGTGTGGATTCAGGTTGCATTACAAATTCCAAACTTGGCATTGGTTTGCTGTACCACAAATGTATTGTATAAACTTGCACTGACACCCCCTCCCTCCTGCACACACTATATTACAGTCAATCCATGTGGACAGAATCTGGAACCCATAGCATTAAAAGCACAAGCTTCTGCTGCTGAGCAAAACAAGTAACTATGGATTAGTAGGTTTTTCTCTTCTGTGTGGACTACTTGCTAGAGAGGGAAATGATACAATTAGCCCGGCATTGCACTAAAACCATTTCAACCTGAAATCCGTGAAACATAACAGTTTCAGCTGAATTTCATTTGAAATACAAGGGAAGCTATTTGGAAACTGAAGGGAATGTTCATGGGCCAAAACCAATGAGCTTAATGTAGTTCTAGTCACTGTTGGCTCTGTGCCCAGAGAGCAAAAGCAAAATTACCAGTCTCCTGCTTCAGTCTCAATCACCTATTCCTTATAAAAAGCAGAATGTGCCTGTTGTAACACCAAAGCCAGCTAAATCAATTAAGATTAAACAGGGGGTGACTGAAACCTCTGTCCAGAACTTGCTTCTAACTCAAGACAAACCCCTTTATCTGAATATTTTCTAAATGACACCGAATTTTCAAAACGGCTTTCTGCCATTGGAAGCAGGGCCATCAAAGAAATATGGCACTGAGTCACGAGTGTTGTATCTTTTGCTAAGGTCTTTCCTGATATGCTATGTTATTTTAGGCAAGTCATGTAGGTCCTTAATTCCAATTCCAATTAAAAGGAAAGGGAATTAGGCACCTAAAAGTTTATGAGGTTCTGGGCCTTAACTTAGGAAAAAAACAGATATGTAAAATGAGAATAATAATGATTATCCATCCATCTTTTTTGCTTTGAATGCACTATGTATTATTATTGTTGTTTATTTTCATTTCCTAGTGGCTTCTCCACACCCAGATACCAGTCAGTACTGGAAGCACAAATAGTGAATTTTTCCATGGAAGTCTATTCTCACAGTTTTCCCACCATAACCAAAAGTAGAAAGTGTCAGAAATCTTATAAGCAAGCCTGTTCCCTTGAAACTT